ACTGAGAATTGGGTGGGGATTCACTCAAATGGGATGACGACATAAATATACAGTCACAGCAGCAGTGAATGGGTAGGAGTGAAGCATATTTATCCCCTGTCAAAGTCTAGAACAGAACGAAATTATCTGTATTAAACTTAGAACTTTCTTATAACTTTATCTTTTAACTTAAGCTTTTTCATGCCAATAAATGCTGTGCCAATAAAAAAACAGCTCTAAAAATGATGGCTCTAGGAAGTATCGGTTATAAATCATTTGTATGTTTTACCTAAAGGACCAAAGACATACATTCAGTTTGTTGGTTTAAGAAACAAAAAAAATTAAGGATAATAAATACTTGTGCTAGTCACTGCAGTTTTCCTTTCTAACTCTTTGTTTAAAGTGTAAAGGGGCGGTATTAAGCAAAAGATTTCCCCTTAAAATTCTGTCGTTAACAAGCTAAACTGCTTGCATTGTTTATAGGCCTTGTCCAGATGAACCAGCGAGACTAAAGGCATCTCTACCTAAAAACACAGTGAAGCTTGGTGAAACACTTGATGAAACCATAGGTAAGCTTGTCAAAGATCACTCAAAGTATCTATTGTTTTTTTTTGTTTTTTTTTCAATATTTAGAAATTAATTAAATAGGTTAATTTAATTTTTTCAACCAGAGTTGGAGCTTGTGGACCAGTATGACAATGTCACCAAGAGGCTGACTGCTGCAGCTGCCGAGTCAATGACTGTTGAAGCTGAGGGACTGGACCAGTCTAACATTCAATTCCTATGGCAGGTGGGAACTCAGATGCACAAATGGATGTTAAAGGGGAAGGTTGTTTTTTTTTTTTTTTACATTGGCCCCTTGATTTTACGTTATTACATCACTCCGCTTTGTTTTTAAAAAATATAACTATAAAAAATATAGCCACAAATGTCTGGGGGACAGTGATTCGCCCACATGTTATGAATGCTGGTGTACCATAAATGAAATTATGAACAGTTTAGTTTGTGCCTTCAACTCGTTGCCTTAGGAAGACGTTACAAAACGGAATATCTTCGGAACAGCTCCAAATGTCACAAAACTAATATGGGTGAGTAGAATAAGGTAAAATCAAGGGGCCAGTGTAAAAGAAACAGCGTTCCCCTTTAATATGTAAAGCTTAAGATTTGAAGTGGCTTCAGACCTGTCCAAAGATGAATTTTTTATTTACTTATTTGTTTTGCAGCTAAGCTCCATTTAACGTGAAAAAAATTAACATTTTACTTCATTTTAAATCAGTTTTTTTCACTGTTTTATTTCACTACATCACAATTGTCCCACATTTAGACTTGCAGCTCATTGTTTTTTTTAAGGTTTTCTACTATTTATTGATCAGTATATCACTTTCCTAGTTTCTATTGTAGAATTTTTTTATTTAATTTTCCTATTCTCTCCATGCATGCGTGCGTTTTCTCTGGGTGCTATGGCTTCCTCCCAGAGTTGAAAAACATGACTGTTAGATTAAGTAGTCTCTATAAAAGTGCCCTTTGGAGTAAGAATGTGGTGCATGGTTGTTTTTTTATGTCTCCCTGAATGTTGCCCATGTGAATGTTGGAGATAGTTTTGTTGGCAAACAAAAACAATAACAATGTTTCTGTCTTGCCATCAGAACATATGAGGAAAAATCTGTCCTTCTAGTCTAAACAACAGTCCCTCCTTTCCTAACTCAGGGTCAAAAACATAGACCATCTGTGCTAAGCACCATAACATAGCGTGGAACAATGCACCTCTCTGTGAGACTATCTTAGTTTTTCCACTTTGAAGAAATGTGAAAGTCGTTCCACTCAACTCACATTAGTGACCACAGTGAAACATGCATCATTGACAGATAACGTGTTATTAGGAAGGTTTGCTGTTTCTAGTCGTTTTATTTTGTTGTTGCTTTTTACTGTACATGTTGAATGCATACGTATGTTCAAATACATGTATATTGCTGCACACATTGGTGGCAGTTAAATCCTCTTAGCTTATTAACACAACTTAAAACGAGAGAGAATAAAGGAGAAAGGGGGGAAAATAGACTTTTGACTTTTAACAGCACTTTATTTACAAAATCAAACAACATAACCAATTAACTATGTCCAAAAAAAAAGTGTCAGCTAAAAATCTCTTAAATGAGAAGATTGTGAAATTGTAGTTCTCCACCATCTGACACAATACAGTACACACAATTCTGTTAAAGCCCCACAACTTCTATGCCAATATGTGACGAGTAAATTTCTCCACTGTGAGATCAATAAAGCTCATCTAATCTAATCTAATCTAATCTAACTACATAAAATCCTCCATGTTCTGTGTGGCTCTTTGGGGGTGAAACTCCAGCCTTATTCTGGCTTTAATGTTGCACTTCCACAGAGCCACGGCATTAAGGTGAAGTCCTTCCTGCAGACTGTCTCTGCGGGACAAGTAAAAGGCCATCTCTGCTATGCTAATTAAAAAATGTAAAAGTTGGGCCTTTTGGCTTGTTTCTTTTGTTTTAGCAAACTCCTCCTATAAATAGAGCATTTGTAAAAAGCCATCCCAAAAGAACAATTATTAAAAGGCTAAAAATGGTCTTTATTCTTGTGCATTCCATAAAAACGTGGAATAAATTTTAAGACAGACTGCAGGAAAGACACTCATTAAAAACGCCCTGATTAAAAGAGAATAACACCTTGAAGTGTGCTTCAATGCTTGTAAGAAACTAAAAGGAAGAAGAAAAAAAACATCACAAAAGAGGAAGTAGACCTTGCGGTGAATAATTGTGGATTACACAGTCTTATCGAAGCTATGTGTATATATAGTTGAAGCTGTAGTAGTATTTAGTATAACAGTTTACACCTAAATCCAAACGCCTGTGGTGCATATGCAGAAGTGTGCTTGTGTATATACATTTTATAAGGCTCCTTTAGCTAATAATAATAATAATGAATTTTATTTACCGTATAACGCACTTTACATTTGACATCAAATCTCAAAGTGCTAAGCTGGGAGATATGCTCAATAGCAAGTGTGAGGGGCCCCAGACGCACCCCAGAGAGACCACAGCTGACACAGAGGAGACCAGAGACCTAGATATGCAAAAGCACCCCAGAATTAAAGGGCATTGAGAGAGGGAGAGCACAGGGATGGCAACACACACCCGGGATGTACAGACGAGAACCCTTAGGCCAGCTTCCCTTGCAGCCGCTTCTGTCTTAAGACAGACCCAGTTGTTGGCTCAGAAACACAATGCAAGCGGGACAACCCCCTCAGGTGGAGGACCAGCAAGGCCAGGGGGCCGAGGTCCAGCCAAGCAGCCCCGGCATCAGACAGCACTACAAATATATCTCTACACTTAAGAAAAACATAGGTCTAAAAAAAGCATTGCATAGTGGTAAGCATAATACTAAGGCAGATGGTGGGTGTTAATAGTATGAAATTGTTGCTTTGTGAGAATAGTCTAAAAACTGAGTATTTGTTGAGGCTTCTTTTAGTTGAATTTCTACTTTTATTAAGGTTACTGAATGTTTTTTTTTTTTTTCTCCATCCAGATGTAAATGTATATTCATTAAATCTATTTATCTTTGTTTTTATTTAAGGAGAGCAGCGGTTCTGCTGCAGTTACCGGAGTCCGTTTCAAGTCAGGGCCTCTTGGGCCCAGGGAGCTTTGCTTCAGCTACAACAACTACACAGAACGTGTCATCGTAAAAGTGGAAGCAGGAATCCCCGCCAAGCTTAAGCTCCTTAGTGGGCCTGAGCTGGTAAAGAGAACTTTTTCCCCCATCTTTTTGATTTTTCAGCTAGTTAAAGGCTCATATCTTTTTATTTTTATTTTTTTGCCAGCCTTTGCAGGTCTTGAATGGTCGCGGTATTCCCAAGCCATTCCTGGTGCAGCTATGTGATGAGTGGGGAAACCCTTCTCCAGACCAGAGAGTGGTGGTAGAGATCAGTACCTCCCCATCGACAGTAAAGGTTTGCTTGAAAAACAGTTTGAAACATCAGCTTAAGTCTTTCATCTCTTTGTGTAGCAAAGATGGAAAGGATAATGCTGTTTGAAACTGTGGTGACAGGTGATGAATTCTGTTATTTCACAACCTGTGGACACAGAAGGAAAAGCCTCCTTCACTGTTAATGCTGTAACAGGGTCAAAGTAAGTCTTACATATAAGACACACATAGATATTGAAATATATTTATAATACGTGGAACATCACTCTCTATATGATCCAATAACTATTTCATTTTCTGCTCTTTTCTTCCACTAGGGGGTACTATCAACTAGAGTTTAAAGGTTGCTTTAACAGGAATCCCATTCCTGGTCCATCTGTGAACTTTAGTATCCTCCCTGATCCCAACAAACCTGTCAAACTGTCAGTAAACTACAATGCCAATGCCAGGTTTCCTGCTGGAGGCACCTTTCCTGGTTTGTATTCCTCCATTTCCTGAAACTGTTCAACCTCTGATCATCCAGCTTAGCAAAGGCTTAGCTGTGCATGTGTGTTTTAGTTTTCTCAGTGACCGTCGTGTCTGATGATGGGAGTCCAATGGCAACTTTTAACCCTGCGGATCTGTCCATGTGGTGGTGGAAGGGAGAGTCATTGTCACGTCCAAAAACGGTGAGTTAATCAATTTCAGCAAGAGAAAAGCTGTATTCCTTTTTAAGTGATGGATCAGCACCTAGTAGCATTACTGTCAAGGCAAAGGAAAAGGTTTGTTTTCCCAGAATGTTGTTTAATGCTAGAAATGTATGCAGTCAAATGGCCTGGTAGGTCTTATCTACAGCTCAGGTAGGAAGATTAGAGATTTGTGGTAATGAAGGCATTTTGTTTTTGGAATGTGAATCTTTACCAGGGTTAGAGGAGAGTTGTCAGCATAGATAGGTAGTAGAATGACCTAAAACCAGCATAAATCCTATCTGTCCCCCTTCTAGCAAAACAATGACCACAACCAGGACTAAATAGTTCACACTTCAGGTCATTGATCTGTCACAATGGCTCTTTCAAAGTCTGGTTGAGCTAATTTTTAAAGAGAGTGGGTGAATGTTCATTATTTAGAGCTGCAAGCCTATACCCCTAAAGACTTGCAGCTGTTACTGCAAGGAAAATGTTATTTAGTGGAGAATTAAGTACATGTACTCTGCTTTTTGTTGGTCCATCACTCAAGGAACTAATAATGTTAATTAAACTCTGTTGTAGATATGTGACAAATAAGAAAACCTTTTAATGATTTAAGTAATTTTGCTTGGTCCAAAGCTAAGGAAGTGTTTCTTATCTCCTCTGTTATTAAGGCAACTGAGCTAAAGTGCAGTAAACCACTGGAAAATGAGAAGAAAGACTGCTATCATTTTAGGTAAGTTGAATGTCTGCAATGTTTGTCTTGTTGAAAAACCGTGATGAGCTTTGATGGCACAGTTCTGGGAATAATATGTTGCTCTTTGCATTTCTTTCATTTTTTGTTGTTCATTATGTCATTTTCATCCAACAATACAGCTAGGAAACTCTTCTAACTGTGCAAAATGTGTCATCTTTGTGCATTTCATTGCAGAGATAAAGAAATCCCACAAACCGTTGGGAGATACACCATACAGTTTTCTCTGCGTATCGATAAAGTAGAGGCTCTACTGAGTAATCAGGTTGGTTTGCAAATATTTTGAAGGCATTAAAATGCACATCTTAAGCTTTTTATGTTGCCTTATAAATTATACCGTTGTCGTGAAACAATGGCTCAAACATTTCTACATGATTGAACACAGTTGAAGTGATCTTTTTTTTAACTCCTCCAGGACTCATGGAAATGTATTTCGTTTTTGCTTTCAGAATCAGCTTTATTGGCTGTTTGTTTAAAAGTATGGACGCATGTGTTCTCTCCTCATAACCTACTCTTTTAGCGTTAGTCCGTTTGGAGGGCTTTCTGTCAGTATTTCCAAAGCTGGGCTTTGTATCTAACTTTGAGTTTTGAATTAAGGAAGGAGTCATCACACGTTCTTGTACTTTGGTTTAATCATTTTTCTAAAATTAAACCAAATATTTAAAAAAATTTAATAAAGCATACAGACAACCTGGAAAGTAGTCATAGCTCTGGACTTTTTCACATTTATTTGTAATGCAGCCTTTTATCAAATAGTATTAATTTGATTTCTTACCTCAAACTTTTGCACAAAATACCCAATTATGATGATGCGAAAATTTTTCGTTGAGAGTGTTTCAACTGTATTAAAAACAGAAAAGTAATTTAAATCATTTTTATCATCCTCATGATGTTTTTGTAAGTTAAAAGGAGTCCACCAGCTGTAATTTGAAAAGACTGGACATGATTTGGAAAGGCATTCTTCTGTCTATGTAGGGTACCACAGCTGACAGTGGATGCCTGAGCGCAAACACCAAGCATAAGGTTAAGGGGAATGTCTGTAGACAAGTTTGTTTAGAGACACAAATATTGTGAAGGATTTAGAAACATTCTGCTGTGAGTATCACAGTGAGCACAGTGGCGTCCATCACTCTGAAATCGGCAAGCTTGGAACCCCCAAGACTCTACTATAGCTGGGCAACCATCGAAACCAAGCAATCGGGGCAGAAGAGACTTAGCCAGGGAGGAGACCCCCAAGAACCCCATAGTCACTCTGTCAGGGCTACAGTATTCCCTGGGGGGAGAGAGGAGAACCAGAAAGACAGCCATCTATGCAGCAATCCACCAATCAGCCTTTAATGTAGAGTTTCAAGAAGAAATCCAGTCTTTCGTAAAAGGCACATGCTAGCCTGTATGGAGTTTGCCAAAACACAGCTGAAGTAATGTGACCATGAGAAACTATATCCTCTCCTCTGATGACAGAAAGATTTTACTTGTCATGTTTGTAGGAAACCCGGCACCGATCATCATCAGGCCAATGTCACCCCTACTCTAAAGCATGGTGGGGACAGCATGATGCAATGGGGATGTATTTTAGCAGCAGGAATCGTAGACTAGACTAGACTAGTCAAGATAGAGGGAACAATAAATGCAGTGATGTACAGGGCTGAATGAAAACCGACTCCACAACGTTTTTGGCCTCGGACTGGGGCAATAACCCAAAGCTCACAGCCAAGATCTCAAAGGATTAGCTTCAGAGCCAATTTTTAAATATGGTGGCGTGGCCAATCCAGAGTGCAGTCTTTATTCCAATTAAACATCTCTGGAAACATTTCCCACCCAATCTGATGCAGCTTACGATGTATAGCAAAGATGAATACTTCCTTTAATTACATGGGCTGAGCTTATGGCATCAAATTAAAAAAAAGACCAAGGAGGGATGTTTGTGCACTCACCAGCACCTTTAGATCACAAGTGTCCTATTCCTTCTGTTTTTATACGTTTCAAGCTGGAAAGCTGGGGTTCCATCATGGTTATCAAAAAAACATTCTCACATCTTCCTTTAGAATAACGGTGATGAAGGGAGACTTGATGCAAAATTACTGCCACAGCCTTAAATCAGCTTTAAGAGATCAGTTATAGCTGCTTTTAAGTTTTGAATGGATCTTAGCATATTTCAAAATTATCAATTATGCATATATTTTTTGAAGATGGCATATTCTAATCATTCCCTTTACATTTTTTATAGCATTTATCTTCTCTAGGGAAGGAGAGAAGAAATCAGTTTATGATCCCCCAGTGGGGAAATTTGTCCCCTGCGTAGCCCCTTACATTCCCTTGGGAGCAGGCATTGCCTCATGGCAGTGTGAATTATCACCAAGCTCAACTCTCCTTAACACTTTTAGAAGAAGAAACCCCCGAAGTTTACCCTGGCCACCTAATTTACTCTGCATTCACTCCTTAAAGCGCACAGTTCAAAGAAGCAAAACAACTTATTTAAAACAGCTCAAACTGCTTTACATTTGAAATATTTTGTATCCAGACATTTTGACCAGATATGTTGTACATTGCATGTGTACACTGAGTGTAGATAAGCTATATTAGGGTCTTATTTTATTACATTTAATGTTTATTCATGTTATAGAAGTTGGGGTGCATTCACACCATCCCTGCTTAGTCCGCTTTAATCTAACCATAGGTTGTTTGGGCAGAAAGTTTGGGTCGTTTAGGGAGGTATGAATGCACAATCGAATTCGATGTAGACCAAAAAAACAGTCTGGTAGACTATTAGGTGTAAAAACGACCTTAATGTGTATAGTCCCATACATTTGTTTATTAAGATCATACAGACCTTTTTGAAGAAACCTCAACAAACCTTTGGTTTATTTTCGTCCTGCAGATCAATGTAAATGTTGTGGCCAATAAACCATTCAAGCTGGGACCTGAATGTCAGCCGCGAACCCGGGTCGTTTCTTACAGCACTGACATCACCAGTCGAATCTTAGTTGAGAACATGACTCTGAAGATTATGGTGAGCTGCAGTCCTCACTGTTACTGAGCATGAAAAACTACTACTGAATACTTTTTAGGGGTGAAATTCAATGTTGTAACTCTTACCGCTTTTAATCTCTCCAGGATCAACATGGTAACCCAGCCGGGCAGGATCTGAATGGGGTGGTGTTGATTTCCATGAAGTGTCCTGCTGGGGAGCAGCGCAGAAGCCTCCCTCTGTTTGAAGGTGAAACCAGCACCATTAAAATGACCTTAAAAGAGGGAAGCACCCACATCGAAGTGAGTAACATTTCCTATCAGCCATGTCATCATGAAGTCATTGTGAAAAACTTTGTGTCATATTAACAGTAATGATTTTTGACAGAGGCTGACGATCGCAGAAAACAGTCCTGGAGACGATGGAGGCAGATATATTGTCATGTTCAAAGCTGAATTGACAATGCTGCCTATACCTCTGAGTCCTTTTGAACTTCCCTTCCATTTTTACAACGGTATAGCTCTTACATGATCATTATAACAGAGCACTCCTGCTATTATAAACTTTTATGCATTTATAAAGCATTTATAGTACTGCAAAAAAAAAGTGGAAAAGTGGATAGCTGTTCTTTTATTATTCGGTTATCCGTTGTTATTCGGTTATGAGGAGTGGCGGCCTAGAACTTAGGGAATAGGGCTTAGAATCCTGAGGTTGTGAGTTCAAAACCCACTCCCACAGACTGCCACTCTGGCTCTCTGAGCATAGACACTTAAACCCACACTGCTCTCCGGGCGCTGCACAATGGCAGTCCGTTGGCAAGGAGTTATTTCTTCATTGAGCTATCAATAAAGTTCAATTTCTTTATTTAAAAAGTACAATTGAATGATCAGTTTGAAACTTGTCTTTACTACTGAGCTTCAGTACCTTGATAGTCAAATAATACTTTACAAAACTTTTTACAATTTCCGATTTAAAAACACAAACTTCCACATGATTTGTTATTTTATGTAATAGAGTGATCAATAATTTTTTTTTTGTTTGTTTGTTGTTTTTTTTTGTTTTTTTTTATGTTCCTGTATCTGTATTTTGTATTTTCATCTCCTTTTATTTATTTTTTTTGTATTATTTGTAAAGTGACCTTGAGTGTCAAGAAAGGCGCTGTTAAATAAAATGTATTATTATTATTATTATTATTAATGATAGAGTATTAGTGAAGTGGGCAATAAATATGCCTTTTTAAATTTTTTTATAAAGAATAACTTGTATCACCTTTATTTAATCAACCCCCTTTACTCTGATACCACTTAATAAAGTCCACCTTTATTAATCTGTTCCTCAGAAATTTCAAAATAAATTATAGGTCAGAAAAAAAAGATTTTTGTTGTGTTGGATCAGCAGAAACACAACCAGCTTAAAAGTGGATAATATTCCTTTTATTAAATATGTAACCTTCTTTTTACATTTTAGACTCTGAGAACCAAAGCAAAATGTCTGAACTGACAAGGAAGAAAGACGAACTGAACACGCTATATAACAATTACGAAAGCTCATGGAACACATATGTGGAACTCCGTCAAATGTTGACGCGTAAGATTTTCACCATTTTTACTTCTGTGTTGCTTTAAGTTTTGTCTCTAGATTACAATTTATTTTTCTCCCCAAAGAGAAAGTCTTGGATTTTGACAAAAAAGAGAAAGACTTCCGAACAATGTTGAGCAGTAGAAATATATCGCTGTCACAATCTTTACCTGTAAGTATTGTAGATTTTTTCTGCTTCCTTATTTAAATCTTAATCTCTTGCTTATTTTTTTCCTCACTGTGGGATTCATACTCATAACTCTTTGAAGGTCCCAGATGTTTTGCGACTTCTGAGAGAAAAGATGGCTGAAAAGGAAAGGATAGAGAGGCTTCCCAGGAGAAAATGTACAATTCCTAATTACAGTGGGCAGAATATTCTTGGGAAGGTGATGAAAACATTTCAAGTCATTTTTATTTTATTATTCTTATGTAGGAGGCATCCGTCTAAATCCTCTGTTGTTTCTATTGCAGGTTGGTCACCTTGCCGTCATCGCTGATGACGATGCTGCCTGGGTCATCTCTTGGCACCTGTCCGGTGACATGGACTGCATCATCACCAAGACGACAGAAGAAGCTCAGAAGATATACCACCAAGATTGCAGACAGCAGGTCATGGCCCTGGACAGCATTTTTGTGTATCAAGGAAACAGGTAGAGCGACAGCTGTATTGTTTTAAATGTAATGTTTTAATTTTTTTCTCTCCAATTGAGCCTGATTGCAATATTAAATGGGCTATATGAATAAACCTAACTTGACTACATATGACTCGTCGGAGGAAACAGTGAATTATATCTCTGTCAGGGTGGACACTTAAAGTTCCTCATCTTGTAAGGAAAACCAGAACAGAATGGGTTTTATTGTGTCAATATCCGTCCATCTTTCCATACATGTCTTTATCCATCTATTTCCCCCAATTTTATTCCACAGTTATATTCAATCGTCCATCTTTATCTTGTTCACTCATCTATTTTCCCACTGTTCAATGTCCATTCATAATTTTGTACATGTACCCACATATCTTTCCTTTTCGTAATCTGTCAATTGTCTATTTGTCTACCACAGCTGTATCCGTTCACATATGTCAGTGTTTTTCAGCTCTAGTGCTTAAGGAACCCTTCCCTGCATGTTTCCCCACTTTCACACCCCTGAAATCAATTGATAGTAGATTACAGTCTTTGCTGAACTGCAACCATCTGAATCAGTTGTGTTGAAGCAGAGAAACATGTAAAACATGCAGGGCAGTGTGCTTTGAGGACCAGAGTTGAAGAAAATGATCTATGTATCTCTTTTACCTTTTTGTTCATCCATCCAGTCTTCATTTGTCTACCAACCCAGCTTACTTTCTTCATTTATCCACCTGTTTCCCACCAATAATACTTAAGACCATTTATTCCCAAACTTTATAAATAAAAACTGCCACCTTCTTAAGTGCAATTATATAATTTTTAACTGTTTGTGTTTTTTTTTTGTTTACACGCTTATAAAATGAAAAGTATTTGTGCAAAAATTATTTGAAAAGTTGCTTTAGAAATTTTAAAGCCCTCATTGAAAGGGATTTGGGAGGAAAAATAAGGTTGCTGTGTTTCAGCCATATCTATAAATAGATCAAAAATGCACATATTGGAGCTGGGCCTTTTGGGGTTAAGATGTTGAAAACAAAACCATCACAAATGACAGTTTCAGCTGCTCAAATCTGCACTAAAAAAGTTCAACCATTCAGTCTATTTGCTGAATTTTGTTTTTTTTCCCCATGGGTTGGCTGTCAGCTTCGCTTGGTTATTGAATTGGGCTTGTGTAGAGTAAAATATGTTTGTTTAGCATTATTTAAGCCTGTGGTGAATAAAAACAGGTGACTTCAATGCATCCCTGTGGTCTAGGTTCACTTTTGTTATAATCCTGAAGCCATAATTATGCCACTTAGTTATACCACTTCACAAAACACTCCTTTGTCAAATAGCTTTTTGTCATTAAATTGCCCTCAGTGGCAAAATTACTCCAGAATTGGCAACGCATCTACAGTTCCTTGCAAAATAAAAAATTCCTGTACCCAAAAATGTTTAATTAAATCTTAACATCCTAGTACAGTTTATTTTACAGTTTATTTTTATAGTGTAATGTAATATCAATTTTACCAAATGTTGAGGGAAATATATGTAAAATCAAAAGTTTGTTAAACATGAACAAAATTATTATTTCCTTGCTCATTATTGGAGCATTAACTAGTTAAGCTCTAAAGCAAACAAAGACGATTAACTACCTGACTTTCGACATGACAGAATTAATAGCATCCTCTCGCAATGACTGTTTGAAAAATGGTTGAACATGTCAGTTCAACATAAACTTAAAAAAAAACATGATGATGTGATTTGATCTGTTTAATTCCTTGCAGACCTCTACCTCACATTAGAAATGGCCAGGGACTTTTCCAACCTCGTGGGAACCCAATCTACGCAAGGCACCTGCTTGTTTATCCCGAAAATGAGAAGGACTGTGAGCTTGGTGAGCTGCAACATGCTTATTTTCTTTTTAGTTTATTTTTGGGCGTTTTTTTTTGGTTTTGTTTTTTGTTCCAACGGGCTTATAATAAGAATTTAGGGCTTTCGTAGATTTCTCACTCTTGATCTGGTATCTTTGTGATTTTTTTCTGGGATAATTTTTTGGCAGTATTTCTAACAATATATTGGGACTTTTATGGAAGGCTTCTACATGGATTCTAAACTTGCATATACAGTGAGGAAAATTAGTATTTGAACAACCTGCTATTTTGCAAGTTCTCCAACTTAGAAAACATGGAGGGGTCTGAAATTGTCATCGTAGGTAGATGTTCACTGTGAAAGAAATCCATCCATCCATTTTCTTCCTCATTATCCGGAAAGGGGTCGCGGAGGCACCAGTCTAAGCAGAGATCCCCAGACTTCCCGATCAACACACACCTCCTCCAGCTGCTCTGGGGGAACCTGAGGTGACACTAGGCCAGCTCAGAGACATAGTCCGTCCACCGTGTCCTGGGCCTTCCACGTGGCGTCCTCCTAACAGGACATGCCTGGAACACCTCCCGAGGGAGGCGACCAGGAGGCATCCAGAACAAATGCCTTAGCCACCTCAGCTGGCTCCTTTCTACGTGGAGGAGCAACAACTCTACTCCAAGCTCCTACCTAGTAACTAAGCTCCACGCCCAATTTCAAAGGGAGCACCCAGCCACCCTGCAGAGGAAACAAATTTTGGCTGCTTGTATTCGCAATCTTGTCTTATCTCGCGGTCATTACCCAGATTTCATGACCATAGCTGAGGTTGGGAACATAGATCGATGCAACTGATTCAGCTCCCTCCTCTCCACGACAGTCCAATACAGTGACCGCCTCACTGCCGACGCCGCACCGATCCGTCTATCGATCTCACGGTCCATTCGTCCCTCACCCATGAACAAGACACTGAGATATTTGAACTCCTCCACTGAGACAAGGACTCCTCACCAAACAAAGAGGGGAGTCCACCTTCTCCAGTGGAGAACCATGTTCTCGGATTCAAAGGTGCTGATCTTCATCCCAGCCGCTTCACAATCGGCTGCAAACCACTCCAGTGCACGCTGAAGTTCCTGAAGCCAACAGGACAACATCATCTGCTAACAGCAGAGATGATTTCCTGAGATTCCTAAACCAGACATCCTCTGGTCCCTGGCTAAGCCATGAAATTCTGTCCATAAAAGTAATGAATAGAACCGGGGACAAAGGGCAGCCCTGGCAGAGACCAACATGCACCGGGAACAGTTCTGACTTCCTACTGGCAATGTGAACCAAGCTCCTGCTGCGGTCATACAGAGAACGGACAGCCTTTAACAGAGAGCCCCTGACCCCATACTCCTAGAGCCCCCCCAAAGGGCACCACAAGGGACATGGTCAAAGTAAATCCTCCTTAAGACTTAGTCGCATGAGCTGTCAAACAGCTTCAATTGAGTTTTTAGGTTTTAAGTGAGATTTTATTGAACACTAAACAGTTAAGTATTAATCTAGTATCTAAAAGCTTTCCTCTTGTTTCTTTGCAAGTATTTAAAAACCTCCTCGGTGACACTATCCTGATGGATGACATGGACTCTGCCACCAACTACAGAAAGGCGGTGAGTTATCCTTGCTGACAGTGTTTAAGCTACCGGTTATTTGCTTGTTTATCCTACAATTACTTGCCGTTTGCAGGTTGTTCAGAACAGGATTTCCTGTCCCACTATATTGACACGGCAAGGGAACAGGCTCAGCGCCAAGGGCAAATTTGGGGGACTGCACAACAAAGCACCCTCAAGGGATAGAGTGAATATGTTTGGAGCCCCTCTACCACCATACTACTACACACTGAAGGACGACATAGGTGATGGCTCAAATAAACCATTGGTATACCTTTTTAGTGTGTAAAGTTAGATTTTGTGTGCTGAAATATATCATTTTCTTTCCCCGAATAGATCTGCTCTCTAAGTATCAGGTTACTTTGGAGAAGAAAAAGCAGTCTGAAGATGAACGTGATAGGATTGTAAAAAAGTCTCCTGAAATACAACAGAATCAGCAAAGAATGAGCGTGATAAGGAAAGAGCTTGACGAGATTGAAAGGCAGCTGGGTAGGTTTTTTTAATGCACTAAATCAAATGGCCTCATGCTTTCCCCAAACATGATCTATACTCTCCTCTTATTTTGCAGAGCCCTGCCAAAAAAAATGAAAAATAACACAGACATTAGTGAAACCTTTATGCAACTGTTGACTTTCTGTAGCTTGAAACTGAGCATGTACAGTACAGACCAACATTTTAGACACACCTTCGCATTCAGAGAGTTTTTTTATTTTCATGACTGAAAAATTTAAGATTCAAACTGAAGGCATCAGAACTATGAATTAACACATGTGGAATTATATAGCCTACTTAACAAAAAAGTGTGAAACAACTGAAAATATCTCTTATATTCTAGGTTCTTCAAAGTAGCCACCTTTTGCTTTGATTAGTGCTTCATACACTCTTGGCATTCTCTGGTCATCCAGGTCATCTGGCACAGCACCCTATCACTCGCCTTCTTTGTCAAATAACCCTTGGGGTCGCTGTGTTATTGAAAAATAAATGATGGTCCATCTAAACGCAAACCAGATGGAATAGCATGTCGCTACAAGATGCTGTGGTAGCCATGCTGGTTCAGATGCCTTCCTTAAGAATAAATCCCCAACAGTGTCTCCAGCAAAGCACCCCAACACCATCACACCACCTCCTCCATGCTTCACGGTGGGAACCAGGCTAGTAGAGCCCATCCGTTCACCTTTTCTGCGTCGCACAAAGACACAATGATTTGAAACAAAGATCTCAAATTTGGACTCATCAGACCAAAGCAAAGATTTCCACTGGTCTAATGTCCATTCCTGTTGCACTTTAGCCCAGGCAAGTCTCTTCTGCTTGTTTCCTATCCTTGGCAGTGGTTTCCTAGCAGCTATTTAAGCATAAAGGCCTGATTCACACAGTCTCCTCTTAACAGTTGTTCTAGAGATGTGCCTGCTGCTAGAGCTCTGTGTGGCATTGACCTGGTCTCTAATCTGACCTGCTGTTAACCTGCCATTTCTGAGGCTGGAGTCTGGGATGAACTTATCCTCCACAGCAGAGGTGAATCTCGGTCTTCCTTTTCTGGGGCGGTTCTAATGTGAGGCAGTTTCTTTGTAGGGCTTGATGGTTTTTGTGATTGCACTAGGGGACACTTTCAAAGTTTTGCCAATTTTTCGGACTGACTGGCCTTCATTTCTTAAAGTAATGATGGCCACTCGTTTTTCTTTACTTAGCTGCTTTTTTCTTGCTATAATACAAATTCTAACAGTCTATTCATTGGGTCTATCAGCTGTGCATCCACCTCACTTCTGCACAACACAGCTCATGGTCCCAGCCCCATTTATAAGGCAAGAAATCCCACTTATTAAACCTGACAGGGGACACCTGTGAAGTGAAAACCATTTTAGGCGACTACCTCTTGAAGCTCATCAAGATAATGCCAAGAGTGTGTGAAGCAGTACTAAAAGGAAAAAGGTGGCTACTTTAAAGAACCTAGAATATAAGACATTATTTCACTTGTTTTAAACTTTGTTAAATATATAATTCCACATGAGTTAATGCATAGCTTTGATGCCTTCAGTGTGAATCTTCAATATTCATAGTCATGAAAATAAAGAAAACTCTTTAAATGAGAAGTTGTGTCCAAACTATTTGTCTGTACTGTACTTTCTAGAACTTTCTGTACTTTTATATACCCAGTCTCTTTTTGGAACTGAACAGGTTCTTTACTTAAATTCAAAATTTATTTTCCCTGAACTGATACAACTATATTCTTGAAACTTTCACCAGAATTGCATTCCTATACTTTCATCACACTTATTTAGTTCTTTCTAGAACTTCTCTTAAACATGCCAGGTTTTCTTAGGCATTTTTATTGAAATGTTTCCCTGTACTTCTAACATTACAGACACTTTCCTGGAACTTAAACAATAGATTTCTTGTAATTTTAAGTAAAATAGATGGTATTTTTTCTTAAAATTGATTAAAATATGAGTTGACTTATAACTGGATAATTTCCTAGATTTCAGCTAGTAGTGTCATTTTATTTAGAAGTGTATTGATTGCTTTTTTTAATGCTAGCATTTACCCCTTGTGTAATATTGCTTTTCATGTTATTTGTTGTTGTTTTTCTTACAGCATCATCATCATCGGTGAGACTAGGTAAACGAGCTGCTGCAAACATGTTGGAGCCCTCTAGCCTCCTAACGAAGCGCCCAAGATAAAATATCATTGGGTTGTAGTGATACTTCTACTTAATTTAGCGTTTTTCTTAATTTCATTTTAGTCCGTTTTGAATGTTTTAAGACTGTAAAGTTTCCAACTTTAAAAGTTAATTTACTACAAACCTTGGCACATTTCAGTATCTGAAGTCTTTAAGTTTAAAAAAATAAACTAATGTTTCCAGAACATGTATTTGAGTGTGTACCCATTTTTTTATTGAACGTTATTTTTTACATATTGTGAAACTTAAAGCACATTTTATAGAGTTTGTTGCTTTTCAATTAAAGAAATGGTCATTAGACTTTTTTTGCACTACAAAACATTGATTCTGCCTTTTTTTTTTATCCAAAGAAAGTGGAAAGTAATCTGTCTTTATATTGCAGCGTGTTCCAAAAAATGCACATTAAAGGATCCTGGGCAATTATTTATGTTTGGATGTGTGCATTGAAGACACCAGACACCTTTGTCAGACCCTCAAAACAGCTTACAGTTGCTGCTGATTACAATCTGAATAAAGTCTACTAATTAACAAAAATAAATAAAAAAATACCTAAAATAAAATGTGTAAAGGATGCTGACATGTTGACATTTCAAATGTTTACAAACCTTTGTATGAATGAATCTAAAATTATCAGGGCAGAATGAATAATTGAATAAATGGTGTAAGCTTCTACTGTAATATCAGCACTTGAAAAGGTTGAATTGTTTTTTTATTGAAGGTTGATAATTATAAAACAGAGCCAGATTTCCAGCGTTGCACTGGAGATGGGTAGAGGTGGTGGGTGGCTGGATCTAGCTCTAAAGGCTGACCAGGGAGCTCTCACAGCGGGCAGTGTGCCCTATAGTGAGGGAGAGGTCGATTCTAAAAGCTACAGGAGGGATATAAATGATTTAACAATCCTTTTGAGGGCTAAATTAAAAAGTATTTTTTAAAGGCCACCCAAAAAACCTCCCAAGAGCATCATTACTTCATCCTATCTCAACTTTTTTTTTCTGTCTTCCATTGGGATTGAAAAAAAATTCCTTGTCTCCACTGCACTCTTTGATTTATTATTTGATTAGTTTAGTTTTTTGACCTGTTACGAAAAATACAATCTTAAAAAAAAAGAATGAAATACAATGCACAAATTTATTATTATTAGTATTATGTTAAAAAAAAAAAAAAAGCAGTAACCATTAAGATTTTTTAATAAATAAAACACAAAACTTAAACAGCTTGTATTAGAAATAGTGCCCCTTGATTTCTTGGAATTCAAAAGTGCCTTTTCCAAATATTTTATGGATCTGTAATGTGGTCAGTCTATGGCTGAGCCATTTTCTGTTTGCTGCAATGAGGTCCTTCAAAATTTTATGAAAATATCTGAAAGTAAAAATAATAAATAAAATTATAAAAAGCAGATCTGAACCTGACAATAAAACTGAAATAAAATAAAGGAAATGCTCAAAAATCATAAATTGTAATTAGGAATTAAATAGCAGTCTGAAAGAATGTTGGCTTATTTTCTTATATATATGTGTAAAGATTAAAGATTTACATTATGTTTTAACATTATTCATTCCAAAACATTTAAAAGACAATCCACTGGACTTTGTTTCCAAGTTTGAAGATAATTCGCTTCTCATCCAGGAAGCTTTTTTTAATTAAAAATGTCAGAAATTGCGTTGAGTTTTAACATTACATTTTTCAGTTGCAATTATTTCCTGGCTCAGTACTTTCTGGTTAGTCATCAGTCATTCGTTATTATTGTATGAGATAGTGTTATACCTATCTAAAAAAAACCTATTTAGATAGTTACACCTACTGTACCTACAAGGGGCAAAATGTAAAGTTTGACTGAGAAAATATCCCCTTTCTTCTATCTGGTCTGAGCAGTACTAGTCAGCTAAAGGTCTATGTTGCTAGAAAGCCGTGACTAAAACAAAAGAAGAGTTCACAGCACAACATAGGTAGGTGTTTTTCAATCATAGTAGGCGTTTCTTTCTTTCTTTTTTTTCTGTTTTGCTTGTGGGTGGTTTCCAACAGCAAAACCTGATTAACCACAATCTCTATGGCTGTAAATCGATGGATCACGGAATTAGCCTTATAATAATTCTTGCTCAAAACCAGAGTGAAAAGTTAGGTCTGCATTGATATTCATCTATGAATATGCTTTGGGAAAGAGTTGAACAAATACTTGCTTGGACTTTGTATTTTGGACACACTCCAAAGACTGCATAGTTCTCCCATTTTGGAAGTCTCTTTGTAGCAAGGAACGTTACACAAAATGCTGCAAGTGAATGACTGCCGCTTTGAAAAAAAGGTCATCAAGAAAACTTTGGAAACCAGTAATTTGGACTTCAATGGCTTTCTGCAAGTTGTGAAAAAGGTAAATTTTGGCTTTTTTTTTGTTCTAGTGGTTTGACTCCTTTTTAAAAGCTTGAGCATTGTTTCATGGGACTCTAAAGAGAGGTAAGTTATTATTTGTCAAAATAGTTACAGCTTGATTTCCAATAAAGTAATGTGACATGCAATGAATCTTTTTTTTTAAGATGGGTTTGGCCCATCTCTGTTACAAGGACATGTTATTTCATAAAGGTAGCATCGAAGGTCTTCACTTACTCGGCCTTTATCGGCCCTCAAAGTGAAGATCGCTTAGAATTTCTTAGAAATTCTGAAAACAGCTTTTATCTCTATCTGCTGGACCACCTGCAACTGACATCTCCCTCAGATAAAACATAGCTGTGTGCACAGCTGAAGGATACATCTGTAGGAATTATACCACAGGGAAAAAAGTGAATAACCTCTAAGACAAAAACAGTAATGTTACATTTTTTTCTAAAAGACAAAAAAATAATTAGTTCATTTTATTTTTTCAGGGATTTACAATCCTGAGTAATTTTGCTGCCAGGAAGAACATTTTAATTTCCCTTATCTTACTAGATCCAAATCCATTTGAGATCAAGATCTACAGCACACTTTTAAAGATGGTCAATTAACCACTAAAGCAATCATAAAAATATAAACTTAAAGAAAGAAAATATGTGAATATCAAGAGGTTAACAAAATTAGAGCTAACTGTTTAAGATAATTATCAAGCGATGGGTCGATAGTTGCTATTTTACCTGTTTGATTTGAATATAATTAACATGTATCATTATAGTTAATAATCAATTATTTTTAATCAAAGGCCACAATAAAAGAAAATACCTGAAATGGTTGTGATAAATGTTTATAAGCCTCAAATGAATATAACTAAGAATTTAGTTTATTAATTAAAAATATTAACTTATGTACCTTGTAAAGTGGGCAGTTAATCAGTTCAGACTGAGTGATTTTATCCACCAGTATATGTTAATAAACTTACACAATAATTACAATTGGAGTTATTAATCATTAACCATAGAAGGGAAGATTTCTTTATTTTGGCTGTTAAATAAAATGTAGAAAGTTTTAATAATTCCAGAAGACCAGCACAGATGTTTTAGCAGCGTACAAGCAAGCAGTAGCTAATCTAATCAGGCAGCAGGATGGAGCGGACGGACCAGAACAATAAGCCAACCAGCTAGCCCCAGTGTAGTGTTTCTGATGAGTTTTATAATTGCTTGATGGTACAAACAGAGTCTAGCTATTTGCAGCTAAACTGAAAATCAATCTTTTGGACTTAATAAATTCCAATGATTTAGACTCATCAGCTGTTTATTCATTCTTCTTAAAAAGTTTTCTGTAATTCATGACTTATGTCTCATCAAGAGTTGTAAGGAACAACCAGTACCAATTAAATAAGAGTTTGTTAAATGGAATGTTATATTAAAACATGTCTTTGCAAGAATAACAAAACTATGAATTGTTTTCCCTGGCAAACTGCAGGATGATGATACTAAAATATAATTCCACTCACACATGCTTGCTCTTGCCTAGGCCTTAGAATTACACAGGCCATGACTTGCCCAAATATGGGAGGTTTTAGACACAAAAGCATCCTTAAAAAGGTACTGTGAATATAAGATCTTTTCACTGTTTATCGTTCGAGATTACTTACTGTTTTAAAATGTTTTTTGAGTTCTAAGCATTTTCATACAGAATATAATCACAGGATAAAGAACAAGGGATAGATCCTAAAAACAACATTTACATTAATATTATTAAGGGCTTCTATTATAAAATTCAAATAAATGTTATATTTTCATCCAGACAAATGTATCTGTTATTCACTTTAACAGCAGAAGTTCATATATTCAATTCAATTCAGTTTATTTATATAGAGCCATTTCACAACACATGTTACTGTATCTCAAGGCACTTTACAAAGACAATTCAACCAGATCCTACAGTCACACTGGTTCACTACATAGGAAGCCCATAAGTGTCACATAATTTACACCCATTGTTTTGATTATGTCTGCTGATACCAATATAGACTACAGTATTTACACCATACTCTAAAGGGAGAATGCACCTCCAACTTAAATTAATTGCTTCAATTGGTAACAATCACAGCTGCTATTCTTTATAACGTTACGATCCATCTGTGGCTGTCTAACCATTGAGAATGCTGTTTACATCTGAAAATCAGCTGCGATTGATTTAATTGTGTTTTCAGTGTGCTGAAGGACCAGAAGGGTCACAATGGAAAACGGAAACCGTTAGAAGAATAAATAGGGCCAGAAGGATCATGGAAATGTTAAATGAAGTGGGTAAAGCAAACATTAAATGCAATTTCAAAAAGGACTTGACAATTAAATAGAATAAGGAATATCCTTTTTAGAGGTGTGATTAGATAAGTTATTTATGTTTAGATTTCTGAATTTTGTTTTTTTTTAATCTCCATTTAGAAATAGCATTAAACAAATACATTTTCCAATTCCGGTATTTAATAATATACAATTTATAAATGCTCTTTAATAATTCAGTTTTAACTATGTTTTAAGTGAGATTTCAAATTGCATGCTTTAAATGTTGTTTTAAATAGCTTGTTTGTTTTTACTTGACTCATTTGGTCCTCCATACAGGCTCTGCATTTCAACTCATATCAGGCTGATTAACGATAATATTGCAGGAACTGAATTTAGAAGGACATCAGAGTTTTCTTTTTAAACAATGGGAATATAGTGAGCTATAGGTATTCATCTCTTTTATGGCCCAGTTCAAAAACCTGTATACATTTTTTTTTTTACTTTAACCATTCGCTGGTCTAAGCACTCTGATTACATTTTTGGATCATCTCTAAAGTACAATGCTGATCTGAATTCATCATATGTGATTGTGTAAAAGTAACTTATTTGTCATGGGGCTCAAACAAGACACGGAAAGGCAAACATCTTTCTTACAGAGAGCAGGAGTCCCATTACTTTTAGAAATGTAATTATTTATTTGTGATGTATGATTAAGTTACAGACCAAGAAATGGAGCCTTTTTTTTTGTTCTTTTCAGAACATTTCACACATCCTTGAGAAGTAAGGGACCAGCCATCAGCTTTTTATAAAAAATGATGGCAAGTTTGCCCTTAGTTTTTCACTGTTGAATTGATCGGGTTCATGTACCCGTGTAGTTGAAAAGCGCTTAACCTTTCCTGGTTTGACTGCATTGCAGGGTGTGGCAATAAAAAGTAGTAACATGTTTCAGCTGTTGATTAAAACTGTTGTGGCAAACCAATGGGGAAAGAAGGCCAGTTCTTGAAGGTGTTTATTTGTATGTGTTATTTTGTGTGAACTTGGATTTATTAAGTAATGATTTGTATTTATTTAACTATTTATCTATGTTTTGTTTTTGTATTTTCTTTGAGTGAAAATTGTTTAACCTCTTGTATTTTCTGATTATCCCCTTACCTGTTTTCTTTGCTGTTAATCAGGGTAGAATTTTATAATGGACAGTTAGTTGCTTTCTCTGTAAAATTATTTTTGACATTATGCTTTTCCCTTTTGCCGACCAAAACTGACATAACATTAATTTGTTTTTTTCCATTTTCAATTCAATTCAATTTATTTCTATAGTGCCAGTTCACAACACATGTCATCTCAAGGCACTTTACAGTTCAACAGATCATACAGTCAAATTGATTCAAAGTTTTCTAAGAAAAAACAGTTGATTGCATCGACTCATTGACTCAAATGCAATCCCTCACACTAAGCATGCTTGTAGCGACAGTGGAGAGGAAAGCTCCCTTTTAACAGGAAGAAACCTCCAGCAGAACCAGGCTTAGTTTGAGTGGCCATCTGCCGAGGCCGACTGGGGTTCAAGGAGACAGAAGCAGAGATACAAAAAGCAACTGTAAAGGCGGCCTCATCTAGGAAACACACTGCAAGACAGACGAGCACCGAGCCAGCTCCCATGTCAGAGGATGAAGAGGGCACATCCAGCCAGTCACAGTCAGAGAAACAGGACTACACTGGAAAGCAGGCAGATCTCATACAACTATAAACAACGATGTTGATGGCAGCAGCACAGCTCATATTTCTGTCCAGGATGGTGTCACAGCCACACAGGACCAGACGAGGTGAAGCTACTATGACAAAAAGCAGAGAGAGAATAACATTAGAGATTGAACAAACGGATTCTGCAGAGTGGGAGAATAGAGACAGGAGACAGAATAAAGCAGAATATAGAAATGGGGGTCCCTTTGTCCTCCAGAAGTCTAAGCCTATAGCAGCATAACTATAGAGATAGCTCAGGATAACCTGAGCCACTCTAACTATAAGCTTTATCAAAAAGGAAAGTTTTAAGCCTAGCCTTAAAAGTAGACAGGTTGTCTGCCTCACGGATTAAAACTGGTAGTTGGTTCCATAGGAGAGGAGCCTGATATCTACAAGATCTGCCTCCCATTCTACTTTTAGAAATTCTAGGAACCACTAGTAAATCTGCAGATTGAGAGCGAAGTGCTCTGTTAGGAACATAAGGAACAATCAGATCTCTGATATAAGATGGAGCTTGGCCATTTAAGGCTTTATATGTGAGAAGGAGGATTTTAAATTCTATTCTTGATTTATCAGGAAGCAAAGATACATATTTTGAAATCTGTACCAATGGATGCAAATAGAATAGAATTCAACCTTATTGTCATTACAATGTCACAAGTACAAAGCCAAGAAATTCACTGTTCTGCATTTAACCCATCTCCTTGGGGAGCATTGGGCTACAATTGTGTGGGGTTTGGGGTTTAAGGAATGTGGGGGTTAAGGGTAGTTTGCTCAGGGACCCAGAGTGGCAGTCTGTGGGAGTGAGGCTTTTCAGGACCTTTGGGTTCCAAGCGCAGTGCCCTAACCACCAGGCAACCACTCCACAGCATCAGATACAGTTATAGTACAAAGGATAGTAGAGTCACATTTCTAAACATTGTTTACAGTAGCTAAAGTATGTATTCATCTAACAAGAATGGTCTGTGTAAGTTTTTTTTTTTATTTCATGCTCAGTTTTGGGAGTTGTATAAGCAGATATATTTTGGATTCAAATATAATATTGAAAAAGTATTAAAAAGTTATTCCAGAGTATTTTCTCACCTACAGCAGACAATCCCCTGGTTTTATCCACTTCTATTAAATATCCATCCAATTGTGATATAACAAGCAACCTAATTGCAACCACTTGCCTTTTTGTTACTACTTTGTTACTGTGATTATATGAGAAACATAAAGTCATGTTTTTGTCCCAACAGGAATTTGCTGTCCCTTCACATGAAACTTTTGTTTTGACCACAACTGACAGAATAGTAGTGGACGATATAAAATTTGGTGAGTAAATCTGTTCATGTTTGTACAAACGTTAGTTCTTGTTGCGGAGACAACAGAAGATTATTCATTTACTCATTATAGACAAGGTGAAGAATGAGAGGACCCTCTACCTACTACGAGCAAAAGACCAAGACCTCCCAGCTTCAGTTAATGAGGAGGTTAAATTTGTTCCTCACTACAACACACTGACTGAGTGTGGGACAAATGAATACTTCACCGAGGGCCAGAAATCACTACGTGAGTTATTGTGTGACGAAAATGGTACTGCTGAATTGGTAACATAATGGACAATCTAAACCTTTGTCTTATGATTTTTCAGCTTGTGCTCTTGCTGAGCTGGTGGACAACGCTCTTTCAGCTACTGCAAAAAACACTGGACTCAGGGAGATAGAGATAAGGGTGGTTGGTTTTGTTTATTTTTTTTTTGCCTTTTTTAACTATGTTTTCTTTTAAGATGTTAAAAGCTTTAGATTTAGTAATTGTATGACTGAGCTGTGATTTAAACTTTGCCACACCTGTCTGCTGTGGTCCTTAGTCTTCATGATGCTGTTTATTCACTAATGTTCTCAAACAAACCTCTAAGGTGTTCACATAACAGTTCAAAGTACACAAGGTGTCAGATTAAAGAGGGGTTACTACATAGGTACACTACACTCTGTGGCTAATAGTTTGAATAGTTTGCAGTTTTTTTTTTCTTTTGCTGTCCAATTATGAGTCACCTTCTATGTCATTGTTATTAGAAAAAATGTGGAAAAGGTTGAATGTGAATGAAAATTTTAGAGGCATGTTGCGGAAATGTATCAACAAAGTTATAAACCTCTTGATAATTTTAGTAATAGTGTCATGTCTTAGCTTTTTTCCTCTTTCCTTTTTTTGCCAGATGTTTGACAGAACTTTTGGGAAACCTGCAATAATTGTCTTAGATAATGGGTGCGGAATGACCTCAAAGCAGCTCAATAACTGGGCCGTGTACAGACTCTCTAAGTTCACGAGGGATAACAGCCTGTTTGAAGGGTAGGTTTTTCTGTGAAAATCTCAGATTTTCCAGTCAGTCAGTTGAAGCAAAACCCTGTTCTATTCAGTGCCTCTCTAATTTCCTATGATTAAATTTAGGGAAAGAGAGGGGTATGTTTTCCCTGATCCTGTACCTCTGAGTCTCAACAGTGACATATCTTTTTTTGGAGTTGGAGGAAAAAGAGCATGTTTCCACATGGGCAATGCTGTCAGAGTAAGTATCAATATCATTTTAATCATTAAAATGCAGGAGTTGGGGCTATTACTTCCATGTTTTATCTACTATAACACCAATGTAAAACATTAGTAATTAGAATATCATGAAAAAGTTAAATATTTCTGTCAGCAAACAAACCTGCCTTTCCTTAAATAGGTATGGGCAATGTGACTTAAACCTCTAATCTCAGATTTTTTTCTCTTCAAATCTTAACATTCTTTTAAGATGGATTTGTTGTGAGGCTGAAAACTCAGATCTTGTGACAGTCCAGCTTGCAGCACAAGGTTAATGTAGAGAGGCAAAGCAAAAATATTTGTAAAGTAATGACAATCTACACTACTTACTCAAATGCAAAAACTGCTTTAATAAGTCACCTATGTACTGTCTCTGCTTAGCTGCAGTGACACTGCACTAAGGCACTGCAGAGACTCCTATACCACCAACTAAATTGTTGGCTGCTGTTCTCTACCTGCTCCCTCCTCCCACACAGTGTTTTTAAAACAGGAAGCCAGGAAGGCAACCAATGGCCACAAAATAGTCAACTAGAAACTCATCCCAAATGCAGTAGGAAGGTCTTTATGATAAAAATCATAAAACCAAATTGCTATTCAATTTTGGATATAGCTGTTGGTTGGGGATCATACAAGTTCAGTGAAAGTTCCATAATGTCAAACATTTATTCATATTTTAAATTACTTCATCTTCCATTTGTAAAGTGATATCGTCCTGTGTTGTTAAACATTGAAGATGTAGGTATAGTTTACTTCCAGAGGCTCTGCCCAGAAATGCTTGAACGAGTTATATAAATTTGGTATCAAACAAATGGGTCACTTGCAATGTTCCCTCAAAGCTGTGCACTCGTGTAATTGTGCCCTGTTCGCTCATTCTCAGCACACAAAAATATCTATGGAGCGCATAAAATACAATCTAACATAAACTGTTAATCAATAAGGCTAATACATTTTTTTCAGATCTTTTTATCATAAATTTTTCAATTTAACACATCTAAGCATATGCTGAGACATTCATGTCTCTGGATATGCAGACAAGAGTCTGCTGTGCTCACTTACCTGCTGAAGCTGCAGCAGACCTGTCACAGCACTCATTGTAAAGGAATCACACCTAATCAAATTAACATGCAAGGGAAGTTTAATTGTATAACATATTTCAGCAGCAGTAATAATGTAAGTGTATTACATGGAAAAGAAAACATAAGCAGAAACATAAAATAAAGTAAATAAAAAACCTCAGTATGATAATAAAGGTAAATAATTTAAAAAACAACAGCTATTACAAAGTTCTAGTATGTAAGATGGGGAAGCTGTTTTTTTTACCTCTTAAGTAACCATAGTTATGTGATAGGTTTTTCACTACAATTATTACAAAAATAAATCATTTTCTTTTACTATATCAATATTCACTGAGTTTAAGTCATTGAAAATATATATGGCAAAGAAAACTGATTTTCTGTAATAAACAGATGATCAGCAAACCAGTTGGCTCTCCAGATATTCATGAGCTGGTTCTGTCGAAGGAGGAATTTCAGAAAAAGGAGCAGAAAAAAGAGGATGTTTACAGAGGGACCATTCTAAACAGAAGGGTGAGAGCTTTTAATTTTCATATTAAAAAGAGAGAGTTATAACTCAGGTAAAAATAAGAACACTTATCTTTGTGCTGCAGCCTGGTGACTTCTCACACATAACAGAGGAAGAACGGTTCCTTCGTAAAATCATCAGTGAAGAAACTGGAAAGAACAGCTTCACTGTGGTTGTCATAACAGGAGTTTCTCATGATCACATCAAATACCTGAAAGAGGACTTTGATGAGTGGACCAGAGAGCTAGCGTGAGTTTACCTCCCCATATGAAACCTGTACATGTATAGAGTCTGGATAATGATAAATATCTTTTTGTTTTAATGTGTTTCAGCCACATCTATCATTATTACATTCATGGAGTCAATGGAAACTGCAAAACAGACATTTCACAAAGATCAGAGAACTTGCCAAGAATTGACATTCTTGTATGTCTGATCACAATAATTCCAGTTTGAGCTGACAACTACTGTGTTAACTGAAAACATTTAAAGTTTCATTTTCTTTTAATTCATCAGGTAACATTGCAGGCTTCCCAGAGCCCACGTACGATCAATCTCAGACAAGTGGATGATGACATGCAAACACAATACATAAATGCAGCCACAGACACATTTGAGTTTAGGGCGGAAACTATGGATCATGGCATTGTTGAGGGTGTTCTTAGATACCATCCATTTCTCTATGACAGAGAGACCTATCCTAAAGATCCATATGTCAAACAAGGTATTAAGATCTGATGTGGTGTTATTTCACTTTTATTTAACATATATTTAAAAAGGATTTACTTCTTTTTGTTTTTAGTCCCTGGTAAGGATGATTATAATGATGATGATGATGAAAGGGAGTCTACCGCCATAAATCAGGCAAGGGGGAAGAGGGACATCTTTGAATGTTACTGGAATGGACGTCTCATCCCCTACACAACGATTTCTGAGTAAGTAATAACTTATCCATTTAGATTTTTATTGGAATATCTCTATATTTTCGGGTTGTTTTTGTAAAGGTTTTCTACACTAAGTTATAAGCCCAGTTTCCTCATTTGTGGATAAAATGGTTTTGTTATGTAAGGAAGCTCATAGACCTTTAATTTCAATTTTGCAATCTAGAAGGAAGTTATTAATTCTGTTAAACTGCATTAACAATTTAAAGCTTATAAGAGAGCTCATAATCCAGTTTAATGATCTAAAGGAATGAATTTTTTTTTTCTTTCTGTCTAGATATCTTACTTAATGAAGAATAAGGGGTTATCCCTATCTTCCTTGGGATTTCAAATATATTTCAAATATATAAATAAATGAACACACTAATAATTTTAACATCAATAAGAACTGTAAAATACCTTCAGACCTTGCGGCAAACAAAAAAAATCAATAAAATTTTTTTTTACTACCCAAAAAGGGAAATGTGATATTGCAACTCATATATAGGGGTTTCCGCAACACCCTGTTGTAGATGTTGATTGCTGGTTTGCAGGTTTGGAAAGGCCTATGAGTGGGAACACTGTGTTTCTAACAGCATTTTGAAGAGAATGCCTGTTGCTGTTAATGATGTTCTTCATTTTATGAAGAATTGTTTGTAAAAAAAATCTCCAAGGATTTTAGAGGAGTTCCCAGAACAATCCTTTTTACCAGCTTGCTGAGCTTCTTTAAGTTGTTGGCACTGATACTGCTATGCCAACAGACCTAAACTTGTTTAAGAAGTACTGTCCTCTCTGTTCCTTCTTGTAGACCAGGGGTAACCAACGTGGTCCCTGTGGGCACCAAGGAGGTGACATGGGGTGCCCACAGTGTCTTCTAAAAAAAGCACAACTTTCCAGTTGAAATTTTATTTTTATTCTATTGCTCTTCTTTTTTTTTTTTTATCATTTATAGAGCATTTTATCATTTCAATCCAAATCTGCATTTAAACATTTATAGATATTTCAAAATGGCAATATCATAAAGAAAATAAGGAGTTTAAAGAAACAATAAAAATCTGCTTATTATGTATGAAGTTAAGGTAAACACTGATCCCTCCAGTTCATAGATCCGTATTGGTAGTCCTTCCTATGACTCAGTATCCATAAAGTAGACCTCAGCCTTAAAAAGGTTGGTGACCTCTGTTGGAATGTTTTACAGTCGTATCTCCAGTCAAATCTGTTGTCCAGGTGGACACCAAACACTATACACTCACCGGCCACTTTATTAGGTACCCCATGCCAGTAACGGGTTGGACCCCCTTTTGCCTTCAGAACTGCCTCAATTCTTGGTGGCATAGATTCAACAAGGTGCTGGAAGCATTCCTCAGGGAGTTT